ATGTGACTCCACTAACTTTCATTAAACTCTTGCGGAGTACAGTTGTATTAACCATGTGTGAAGCTATAAGCTAATCAATCCCAGATGGGTAATTGCCACAGTAAATGTATTTTTGATTGCTGCGATAAATAACTTCTCCCACAGAGAGAGATGTAGAATGAGTTTCCTTAGAAAGGTGAAACAGCAGTATTTGTTATCTTGTTATTTAGGGAAAACACTCAAAATTTGGAAAATCTGACTCTATGCAAGTGAAGCTCCATGGTTAAACACACACACAAAAAAAACAAAAAACAAACAAAAAAACCCTGAATTAGTGTGAAATGTGAAAAACAACAAAATGTTTGTACAAGAAGTAGAGCAACAGGGTCCTAATACTCCCTTCAGGATCTGGGTGGTACCATACTATAAACAAACAATAACAAGAATTTAGCTGCATGGGAAAACTGGAAACCTCAGAGGCCAATCACATTCAGCTTTTATATATCTGAAGAGCTGTATGCATACTAGGAAACCCCATCTAAAGACAGTCATAATTGTTCATACAGACAATTTTGAATGTGCAAAACGATCAAGAAAAAAGCCAAAGCATCAGTGTGGATAACTTGATCGCTGCAGAAAATAAATTGAAAGGATGGAAGGAGGGAGGGAAGAAAGGATAGAAGTAGTCCATCACATACTGTGTTATTCCGGATTACTTTGTACAATTTGGTTCTTTTTCTCCACAGCCTTACAAGTGTGTTTAGTTGCAAACTTCTGATAAGTTCAGGTAAAGTCAGTGAGACTGATGACCTAGTAAATTCATACAATTGCTTACTATTTTGCAGAATAAATGCTGGCATTGTCCACAGTATAATGGAGACTGAAATGTTAGCCAAGCAACCATCAAAACATTACCATTTTGATCCAGGAGTACAGATGGTGTTGAAAAATGGGATTAAAGCTACAGAGTCCATGTTCTTCAAGTAGAAAGACCTTTTTTCTCTTCAGTCCCTATAGCAATGGGACCCTGGAAACACTTAGACCTCCAAGGACAAGCTGCTGACATATCAAATTAACAAAACTTTGTGGAGATATTGATGCATTTATGCATGAGGCTGTGCTTCTGCAAAGGTGTACATACATCTCTGAAGGAAGTGCTACTTATCACCCAGACCTCCTAGGTCTTGTATCAGAAATTTAGAATAATGTTATGAAGCCAAGTCATTTATTCCAGTTACTCAAATCCCCGTAAAACAAAGTATACAAATGAGACTTTGTATAAATGAGACAAACACTAAGCACCCTGAAAGTCAGACAAATGATATTTTTTTTAATTTGCTTCTGGGTGCTGAGTTAGGGAAAAATCATGATTTAGGGTAAGATCATGATTTATGACTTACTTTCATCCGAACACAGAGCTGGTGTCAGGACTAAAAGAAAACTGTTTGGTTATTCTGTCTTTCTCACTGCAAGCCTGAAAAAATATCTAACTTATGTATTGAAATGAAGATAGAAGTGCTTTGAAGCGAGGCTGAAAGGTCCTCTGCTCATCTCAAAGCCTTTTAAAATATTTTTTATTTCCTGAGAAACCACTGAGACATCTGAACAGTTTCAAAACTACAGCAGAGTTCTCTGGGTTGCATCCCTTCAACTGCCACTTAAAGTAACCAAGTCTGAAAAGTGTTGAGGTTATTGCAGTCAGAATTTTCTAATAAACAGATAAATAGCTATAAGTGGGATTGCAGTTCCAATATGAACATAATAGAGGTGTGTGACAGAGAAATAGGGAAGCACCTGTCAGTTACTGCCAACTTTTAAGCCAGTCATGCTTACAGGCACTGATCTACCTGCCTAATTGTCAACTTCCAAACAAGTGTGGGCAAATTGAAAAGAATTCCAAAATGGGCTACATGAGTGACATGAGCTCTGAGAAAATAAGTCAGCATGAAGTTCACAAGGCTTAGTCTGGTGTTTTTTCTTTTTTATCCAGCAGTTATTAATGACCTAAGCATGACGTAACAGTATTGCCATGTCACTCCTCTCATAATCTGTGTAAGCAAGACAATCACAACCTCTGAATCTGTGCAACCTTTCATTTTGAGAGAAAACGGAATATCTAGCAAAACGCATCACATGTTAAGTTTCGTTTAACTACTCACAAAGCTTCATTAAACTACTTACAAACTTTTGGAAACTGATATAAAACGGGTGAGTCAGAAGAAAATACCTCTTCAGCTAAATTGATGTTCTCAATTAATTCTCGTGCCTGCAACACATTTACCTCAGATCCCCTACATTTCACCATTGTCCTTTTCTCTCATTTACACCTTACTGTTCAAGATACAATTTTTCTCGCAACTGCTAGCAGATAAAGGATTTCCTTTACTGCCATTCCCTTTTACATTCTTCTCAAGAAAGTCTGAATTGCTATTCCAGTGCTAGTACTGACACTTCTTGTTCAGGGTCTGACTCTACACATGACTTTAACACAGAGAGGATCACTCTCACAAGTGGTAGCTGGGCCCTCCACAGATTTGATTCATTGCCCACCTGTAATGACACATGGTACAAACCACAGCAATGATGCAAAGATGCACTTGGAGCTGCACAGTTTGATGGTACAGAACAAGCTTTTGAAATCAGAGTTGCTTCACAAACTGGCTGCCAAAACCTACTTCCAGCAAGCTCCACTCTCTGCCACCTCTCCTATGAGTAAGTCACAAGTGTATGAAACCTGCCCAGATAAGAAAATGTTTTGTTTGTTTAACCGGTAATTAGATGGGAAAAAATGTTTTAAAAGCCCCCCCATCCCCCATCAAAACCTTCTTCCTCCTGGGGGTGTTGATTGACAGCCGGCTGAACAGGAGCCAGCAGTGTGCCCAGGGGGCCAAGAAGGCCAATGGCATCCTGGCTTGTGTCAGCACTGGCGTGGCCAGCAGGGACAGGGAAGGGATCTGACCCCTGTACTCGGCACTGGTGAGGCCGCACCTCGATTCCTGTGTTCAGTTTTGGGCCCCTCACTACAAAAAGGACATTGAATGACTCGAGCGTGTCCAGAGAAGGGCAACGGAGCTGGTGCAGGGTCTGGAGCACAGGTCGTACGGGGAGCGGCTGAGGGAACTGGGGGGTTTTAGTCTGGAGAAGAGGAGGCTGAGGGGAGACCTCATCGCCCTCTACAGCTCCCTGAAAGGAGGGTGCAGAGACCTGGGGATGAGCCTCTTTAACCAAGTAACAAGTGACAGGACAATAGGAAGTGGCCTCAAGTTGTGCCAGGGAAGGTTTAGACTAGACATTAGGAAGCATTTCTTTCCAGAAGGGGTTGTCAGGCGTTGGAATGGGCTGCCCAGGGAGGTGGTGGAGTCCCCATCCCTGGAGGTGTTTAAGAGTCGGGTCGACATAGCGCTGAGGGATCTGGTGTAGTTGGGAACTGTCAGTGTTAGGTTAATGGTTGGACTGGATGATCTTCAAGGTCTTTTCCAACCTGCACGATTCTGTGATTCTGTGATTCAGTGTGATTTACAGCATGTTCATGAAGAGCAGAAGATGGTTGAAGGACTGTGACCCTGTCCCACAGCAGGGCAAAGTGGCTGAGATGGATGAGCATGCTCTGAGGGAGGAAGGAGCATGGCACAAGCCCTTTTCAAAGGAGAAACAATTGTGCTGAAAGGTAGCTCAGAGTCAACACCTCCAAACTTTTTTTTTCACACATTTCCTTTTCGTAATTAAAGGCTAGGGTGATTTTGAGGACAGATTCTGAATAATAAACTCCCTTTTGGTTTTAAATATGTCAAATCACATTGTTTCATGCAAAATGAGAAGCACTAGTTTGCTTCTCTTGGGGGAGCATGTTTCTAGGGGAAAATGAAGCAGAAACCAACTTTTATTGGTGACATAGAGCAGTCCCAAAGAGAAGCTGGAAACATTGATGCTGTCAGAAGTGGCTATGTTTTGAAAAGAACCTAGGACTCTACACGCAGTTAGTGCAGAAGTCTTTCTGAAACCAGCCCAGTGTAAGGTAGCAAAACAGATGTGGAGTTTCTCAAGCTATATCCAGACCACCTAAACTGTAAATGTGTGACCCATAAGCAGGACTTACCTGTCTAAATATCCAGTGTGATTGAGATTCACTATTTTTACTGTGCTATCTCTTAAAAACTCTGAAAATCAAGAATTCCTTCACTTAGGGCAGTGGTATTTCCAAGGCACACACACACAGGCCTTCAATGTAAGCATTAAGTACAAGTATTTCAGTGCATAAAGCTGGAACCCAACTTCATTCCAAAAAGCTTTCCCATCATTTAAGGACATGAAATGAGACAAACTCCAGCAAGTGTCTGGAGAGGTCCATTCCTGAAGACACATTCTCACCTGACTCACCTGGGATGCACTGAACTCAACATAGGGCTCACTAGTAACTCTCTTCGAAAACAGTGACAGAAGAGGCAGTGTAGGAGGACAAGTGCCTATTTAAATGACTGGAAAGCATTAAAACTGGCTTAAGCGATACTTGGTACCACTTACAGCTCTGGTTCCCTTGCATGCAGGGTGAGAGATAAGAAGCGACACAGAGGAAAGCAGCATTTCAAAATAGGGAAGTAGGATATAACAAAGAGGCAGTGTGAACCCTGCAGTGAGTCTTTCAGAAAACATACTGAAAGCTATTCCCTAGTAAATGGCTTAATAACTATCATTGTTATCATAATATAGCTGGAGTGAAATTAAGGATTAGATATAGGCATTTTGTAAAATTCCTCACCCTTTTGATTTAAGCTGCACTATTCAACTACACAGTGCAGAATTTTCCGAATGACAATGTCATGATTTGCTACAACATCAGAGGCAAAGCTTGGAAATAATTTATGAAAATATTCGCTTAGCTGGGGAATACCACTTAGCCCCTGTTTGCAAGGTGTAAGTGAGCTTTCCAGAGTACACAGGACTTGATCTGCTTCTCTCTGAATAAATAATCCTCTCCCATCGCACACATATACATACATCCTCTTCCAAAATAATGTTCTTACCTTATCTTTATTTTCAGAGCCAGAATCCTCAAGTTTGGTCCGAATGACAAAGGGAGTAGATAATCTCAGGAGAACTCGTTCAAATGTGGCACTGATTTTAGGAGAAACTATGTCAAAGCAGTCTTGGAATTTCAGAGTTTTATGAGTGTCACATCTGAGCTGCTTCCTAAGACCTTCTCCAAGCTGGAGAACCAGCATGTTTGGATCAAACATCAGGTGAAAGGGGAAGGCTCTGCAGAAGGTGCTGATGCTAATCCGCAGGTCTAAGGGGGAATGGGAAGTTCCCGGTGGAAGTGCTTTTGTGATATTTGCATTTTCATGTTCTTTGATAAGGAAGGTCAGACAACTGCAGTTACCTGGGTTTGTCCCCTCTGAACACAACTTATCATTAGTGACCTGTTCTACTTCCACTTCCAAGCGGTAAATCTTCTTTGCTGCTGCCTTTATCATTCCCGTCATTGCAAATCCCACAATCTGATGTGGGTGAAAGTAATGAAGCATGAGATTGCCTTCAGGGAGCTCTTTGCATAGGAAAGAAGGGGATTCCAGGGTGGCCTGTCTTCCAAATGAAGTTCTAATGTGCTCCAGCAAAGCATCAAAGCCATTGAAGAAGTCTTGAAGGGTCCCGCCTACAGCTCGAAGAACTCTTTCATTCTCATCAAAGCAGATATTGAAGAATTCCTCTCCAAACCTTTCTTGCATCTCCTCAAACTTCAAACCTGTAGGACAAAGAGACAATTATATCAACATAGTATTGCTACTGTGTCACATTTTCCCTTTGTTCTCTACTTGCTCAGTATTTTCCAAGTCAGTCAGAGTGGCTTTTTCACTTGATACCTTCCCCATGGGACTCCTGTTTTTTTCTGGTCGTTGGGAATAATCCTAGAAGCCATTTTTGCCTGTCACTTAAAGTTTTCATGCTTTCAGCTCACTGTCCCAGTCTGCTACTTGTTGCATTTACACTTGCTTGTCTCCTTTGCCCTGCTGGAAGCCAGGATACGCTACCATTTCTCTGACTTTTGCATGTCACATGCAGGCCACTGTGTGAATGCACCCAGCCATGGGTGCATCCCTTCCATTGTTGATCTAGCCACAAACGAGCCTTCTGCTTTTATAGCCCCTTTGCTCAACTGCCTTTGTGAGGGATCCAGCTCTTACCAGCTTGAAGAATAAGCTACTGAGACTCAAAGTCATGCCTTTGGCTTTCAATAAGTAATGTAAAGCCCTGCAGTCAGATGACACTTTAGTAGCTGGGGGAGGGGAGTTGTGGGGTTTGGGTTTTCTTTCAGACAAAATACTTTTCTCATTATAGCTATTGGGCACTGCCAGAAGATACAAAGGAATAATTACTTCCTTTTTTGTTGTCTGCAAAGGAGAGCAAAGCCTCTTCATTTTAGGCTTCTACACTCACCCATCTTTTAAAAAAAACCCTGCCTCTTAGAGCAATCTAAACTGCTAGTAAATGGGACAGCTCTGTGATATCTCACAATGTCACTTCAAGTCTCCATCACAGAAATTCAAAATGTTTTGATTTACAGTGGTGATAAGACTGGTATTGCTGAAGGGATGAAAAAATATGAGTGAAGGAAGCTCCTGGATACAAATGTGCATCAAATCTTACTCCAGTTCGTAATACCATTTTAAGGATAACCTAGGAAAAATCATTTTGAGATTATTATTATTAAACATTTTCCTCTGTCTTACTTTAGGTAAGACATGCTCTGTTAAATTTCACCTGTATATAATCCCTATATCACCTAATAGAGTTACAAAATTAATCAGGTATGTTTGTATTGTTCTAAGCTGTAATATAAGAAAAAGAAGTACGAATCAGTTGTATGTGAATGACAAATATCCAGCAATAATTTTCATTCAATGGAAATTAATGTAGGAATTAACAACATACTTCCTTCAGTGTACTGAAATCAAATCAAACCATAATTCAGTCAACTAGTCAAACACCTTAAAATTTATTGTGAATTCTAACATAAATGAAGGGCAGTTATTTATTTCCTAAGGGCACAACAGGCCCTTTATTTTAATATGTATTCAGCATGCTTTATAACATTAAGATCCCAGTGGATCACTGAACTACTCAGTTTGTTTAGATTGCTTGCAGTTTTTTTAATTTTAAAGAACAGTGTGATTAGTGTCTTTCATGCCCAAGGGTGTAACAGGGGACAATAACCTTTTCAGACAATAACCTTTGATCATCTTCAGGCAGCATCTGAACTGCCTATGCATACAGGCATAGTTATAATGATCAATATTCACAAGGAATCTGAGCGTTCCACAGCTTTGCAAACTATCTGAAATGATAGTTTTGTTTGGACCTTCAATATGGTTAACAGCAGATTAAAATGCATAAAATTACATATATAAACAGGACAACATGACAACATAACAAAGCATATTTTATAAAAGAGGTAATAGTAATAATTTGGGAAAGCTCATTCAAATGCCATTACTCATAATCAAATTTGGTCACTGAACTAGGTTATTACAAAAATATTCCCAGGACCTTTTATGACCACAGATGGTCAGATCTGCAGCTAAGCCAGAAGAAAGTACCTCTGGTACACAATGCCCCCTGATACCCTGACTCAGGGGACAGTGCCGCCAATTCCTGATTCATTACCACTATGTCTTCATAACAGTATTTTAGTATCTTCCATAAAAATACACACTATAATCTAAAAATAATTAAATTCTAACCCATACCAATAACATTATCATAATTGGATATTAATAGCAAGGAGCTAAGAAATTATCATATTAATGTGTATACACAAACACATATGCATACTGTTAAATCTCATTGCTCTGTAGAGTGAACTGTGAGTAGCTTTAGAAGTCAGTGTGTGAAAGTGAGAAGTCTAGCAGGGGCACACATGGCTGTAAGACTGCAGAGGCCCTGAAAGTATGGGAACAGGACAGGATCAGAAACCCCTAGGGTATTTGTACGAATGACCAAAGACCGTTATCGAACTATGTAACACCCACAAAGCGGCCCCAAGTGACCAGTAAAAGTCAGTTGCCCTGCCACCACTAACTGAAAATAGTGTATGCAGAACTGATCACTCGTGTGCTTTACTGCTACATACGGAAGCCTCGTCTCATTATCATTAACAGGAGTTGGACCTTAGTATTCGAGCTAAGGTTTTGCTGATTGTCTTAGTCTGGTCTTGTCATTCACGCTGGAGGACTGGCTGTTCAGTCTGGACACAATGTACTGGCTCCAAGCAACATGAATTATACTATGAAATTCAGTTCAATGACCTGGCTCAAGGATGTGCCACTACTTTTAAAAACATTTTAGCTTTGAACTGATTTACACACAGCACCAGCAGAAGATTAAGTTAGCTCAGAGTAGGAAAATGGGTATGTTCAACCAAACTGCTGACCTTAGTCGAGGATTTTCTTTCTACTAATAGACACTACGTGATACCAAGAAAATTAAACAAAATCAAACAACCTTCTAAAACAAATAATTATAATGTACCTATCAGGGAAATTTATTCCTAAACCACACCAAGAAGAGGTCAATTCTGCTTGAAGCATGGTGTTTTTTCTTTAAAACAAAAACCTTTATTTAAATTCCTATTATACAAACACAAACTATATTTTTCTGTATTTCTACAAAGCTTTTGGCTTCAGTGATGTGCTTGTGTGAAGCTGCACAAAATACCTAATCTGTGTTTTTACTGGCTTATTCGTGCCTCTCCTACTGAAACAAATGATGAACAGAAGTACACACTTACCTAACATTAACTCTGTATATATTTCATCATAATCTTTTCATTTACTACGATATAAATGGTCCCAGTCTTTTTAATATCTTCTGGGGAGTTTCTCCCTACCCCTTTCTTTATACTTCCAGCTTTCAAGAGACAATAGAAATGGCCATCATCATCACAAGGAAAGAAAATGTCAGACTGCATCAGATTGCTATTCATCTGCTCTGAAACCCTATCTCAGCAGTTATTGGTATCAGATGCTATAGAAAATCTGATGGAAAATGATGAAAAGACATGGGTTTGAGGAAGCTCCTCCGTAACTGCTACAGTAAATGTTTGCTTGTTCACTGAAATGGATGAAAATACCAGATCAGGAGATAGTTTTATTACATATAGAAAAACCTGCTTGTTAAAAAATTTCCACTACTCACTGTCTCTATAGTGCATACATTACTACATTTGGAGACTTGCACAGGCTAATTAGTATCTTCAAAAGTTACATTTGGTATGATTTCCAATTCCAACATATCCAGTCTTTCCTTTTTTTTATTTTGAGAAAAGACAAATAAAATCTTCAAAATCATCTTTAAAACCTTGAGGTTATACATCTACATAACACAGTCTAATCTTTTCAAACTCATCTCACATTAAGTTCTCTCTCTGCATCTTCATTTTTTCATTTTGATTTTCACAACAGAAAAATTCAAATTTGATGGCACTGAAAATGTGATTCAACTTCATCAAAACTGATGATTTGCTATTCCCTTATGAAAATCTGGCATTTCCATTCTTTCTTTTTCACTATGGACCTCTAATCAAAATTTTCATCCAGCTGCCCAGAAAAAAAGATATTTGAGATCTGTATGCATGCCCAGCACTTCCAAATGCAGAGGCCACTGCACTCCCATATCACTTCATGCATGACTCCGACAACCACAGATAGGGCTTTCTAATGGTCACTAGCTTGCATCGGTCAGTACAGAGAAGTCTTCCTTAGTTTTACCAAGACACTTCACTAAATTGTAGTAACACAATAAACCAAAATTCATCCTGATACTCTGTACTGTTGCCCAAGTGAAGTCAGTTGTTATTTTGAGCTTCTGCTATTTACCAATCTTCTATTGATATACTGAATGAAATTCTAAAAATTTATCAGTCTCAATTTGCCTTTCTCTTGGAAAGTTATCTACTGTGCTCCTACCACTTAATCCACTTTTTGGGGAAGACAAATCACATCTCTTAACATTAATATTTTTTTTCCTTTGTAGTTTATTTTTGTTGCTTTTTCTTACAATGCCACTTTTATTCTAGCCCATATTGGAGAGAAATTAAATATGCACATTGTAGAAGGAAACTGAGGCAAAGCAACTGTAGAATTAAAATATTGCTATGGGCCTCCACTACAAAGCACTTTGGGATCTATGACAAAAGTACTATAAGGTCTATTATTATACTTTGAAAATGTGTCTCAAAGATGTTTAGGGAACAGATCCTATACTTGTGAGCCAGATCCAAAATTACCAAAGTCTTTAAGCATAAGCTCAAAGTACAAATTAAGTATTTCACTGAACTGGAGCAGAAATAGATGACTTCATCCTGTAATAACATGCTAGTAAAAGGCCTTTCTTCATTTTCTTTTCAGCAGTGCCTCTAAACTCCGAATCCACTACAAAACGTCAAGGAACTAATACGGTATTTCTAAGTATTTTGTACATTACTAAGTGGAGAAATTAGATAGGAGTCTGTTCCCATAAAGAAAATCTCAAATCACGGGCTCTTCAGAAACAAATAGAAGATGAATGATGCAATAAAAATGTCAAAGTAATCCATTAATTTGCAGAGCATGCAGAAGCAGTTACAAGCCATCCAGTTCTTCCTTAAAGTAAACCATGGAGACAGTGGTTGCAGAGTGGCCAGCATCTGATTCCTTTGGCATGGGGATACCCATTAAGAATCTGTAAAAGTCAAATACTAAGGGGATG